TGTTGTGGAATGCGGAATCCCCGTAAACCTACACACAACTCATGTGCGCGCTAGCGTACATTGTTCTGCGTAGAACCCATTATTGGCCTAAATTGTTTTTACCTCAATATTTGGTTGGTAATCAATAGTTGTTCTAGATTTTTTGTATAGTAGTTAAGTGTATATATTTGTAAGATAAATATATATCACAAGGAGTGTTAAAGATCGTTTTTCTACACTATACAACAGTGGCGATCAGGATAGCAAACGGAACGAAGATTTCCAAAAAGGAAATTCGTTGCCTTTTTAATTATTTGTGAATATTAAAAAGGTGTTTTTGTTTTTTGTTTCTTGTTTTGTTGTCATCGTGTGTTGCTTTTCATCGTGAATCGTTGTCGGTTTAACTGCGCTTCAGATATTCTTGTCGTCTTCTAACGCAAACGCGTTGAAAAAGACAGAAGTTAAGGCTTGTGTCTAAAGACCAGCCGTCGAGTCGTCGAGAAATTTTTTTTTCTCGACCGGATCAGTTTCGTCAAGTAGGTGAGCGTTCCCTGTTGTGGTTATCACCCGCTGGGTTCGCGTCACTGAAACTTTGCATCTGTGTTAGTGTTTTGCTGCGGTTTTGCCCTCTAACACTACGCAGTTTTTGCACGCGTCCACGGACAAAATTGTCTGACTGCTTTTGAAATAAACCCGGTTCGAGGCAACCCCTCACGGAGGCAGTGTAATTGACTGAAAAAAAAATTTTTTTTTTCTTTCAACATTTGATTAACAAGTTTAAACAAACTTGGAAATCATGTCGGACGTAGACGAATTGATCAAATTGATGAAAAGGCAACACGATGAAACAAAGAAACAGAACGATCTAATCTTTAACCTCATCCAAATGACGCTTTCCGCGAACAGCGGAAGCGCTCCAACTGGAAACACGGCAGACCCGTCGTGTATCGTTACTGCGTTATCGGCACGAATACCTATGTTCGAGTTCGACCCAGAGAATGGAAAAACTTTTCCTAAATGGCTTAAACGTTATGGTGAAGTAATAACAGAAGAAGGGAAAACTCTCGATGAGACCACAAAAGTTCGACTTTTGTTGAACAAATTACCTGACGACATCTACGAGCAATATGCATCGAAAATTTGCCCAAAGGTACCTTCGGCAGAGTCTTATGACGACGTCGTAGCCACCTTGAGTGACTATTTTGACGTGAAAAGGTCGTTATGGTCTTGGCGGTTTTCTTGCACACAAATAAGTCGTATGGATGAGAATCCTGTGGCTTATACGGCTCGAATCAACGAAGTTTGCGAGAAAGCCATGCTCAAAGATGTCACGCCGGAAGAATGGAAAACATTCTTTTGGCTCAAGGGATTGGACGCACCTGGAGACACACAAGTCCGTGCACATTTTATCAACTTCATGGAACGTAGAGCTGAAATTAAGCAGGCTACTACCATAATGGACCTGTGTGAAGAATGGTTGCGTATTCAACGTCAGAAAACGGAAGTCCAGGAATTTGGACAAAAGAAAGTATCTGAGTTGAAGGTCAAGAAGCCGATAGACGCTGAGAGTGGGAGTTTGAAAAAAATTACCTGCTGGAATTGCGGCAAGGATGGCCACGCTTCGACAGTTTGTCACAAAAGCAAAGCCTCTTGCGCAAAGTGTCACAGGAAGGGACACTTGGAAAGATTTTGCAAATTGAATCGAGAAAATGCGAACAAACGGTCGCAAAACGGCAAGACCAACACCTGGAACAGGTGCAAAGCGATAACCGTTGCGAAAGCAGAATCGCCCCAAGTGCAAGCAGTACGGCGCTTCATCGAAGTCGAAGTGCAAGGCGTACAAATTTCCTTCCAAATGGACACTGGAAGTGATTTGACCTTAGTCGGAACCTCGGAGTGGGAGAGACTAGGCAAACCGAAGTTGGAGAAAGTTCCTTTCCGAGTTAAGGATGCAAGTGGGAGTGACATGGAACTCAAAGGGAGGTTCATGTGCAGCTTCAAGTTGAAAGATTCGCTCGCAAATGGCTACGCCTACGTGCGGAATTCTGGAAACTTAATCGGACTGGACTGGCTTGAAAAGTCAAGCCACATGAATTACCATCTAGAACAAATGGTAAATACCATCAAGGACGAGAAACCGTTCTCGGAGCAGCTGAAGGAAGAATTTCCTGAAGTGTTTGTCGACGGTTTGGGAAGATGCGTGAAAGAGCAGGCAAAGCTTGTCTTGAAGAACGAGGCGCAGCCTGTTTTCAAGCAAAAGCGTCCTGTGCCATATGGATCCGTGACGGCAGTTGAAGGTGAACTCGAGCGTCTAACGCAGCTCGGAGTTATTGAGCCTGTCAACCACAGCCAATGGGCAGCCCCAGTGGTCTGCATAAAGAAAGCTTCGGGAAAGATCCGAGTTTGTTCTGACTTCAGTACAGGACTGAATTCAGCGTTGGTAGATGAAGAATATCCGTTGCCAACGGCAGAAGAGATTTTCGCGAGTCTCAATGGAGGATCTGTTTTCACGCAAATTGATCTCAGCGATGCCTACTTGCAAGTTGAGTTGGATCCTGAATCACAAAAGTGTGCTGTGATAAATACCCACAAGGGTCTTTTCCAGTACAAAAGACTTCCATTTGGCATAAAAACAGCGCCAGCAATTTTCCAGAAAATCATGGATAAAATGATTGCTGGGCTGACTGGAGTTGCCGTTTATTTGGACGACATTATTGTTGTTGGTCGTTCAAAGGCGGAACATCGCGCAAACGTGAGGAAGGTCTTTGCTAGGATCCGCGAGTACGGATTCCATCTGAAACTTGATAAGTGCTCTTTTGAGAAAAGTGAAATCAAGTACCTGGGATTTATTCTCAATGCCGAAGGACGTCGACCTGATCCTGAGAAGGTGAAGGCGATCAAGAACATGAGCGCGCCAAAAGACGCGAAAGTCTTGAGGTCGTTTCTTGGGATGATTTCCTACTATGGACAATTTATCCCCAACATCAAGGCATTGAGAGGGCCCTTGGATCGACTTTTGGTCCAAGATGAGGATTGGAGATGGACGGAATTGGAAAGACGAAGCTTTGATAAACTCAAAGAAATTCTTTCCTCCGATCTGAATCTGGTTCATTTCAATCCGAAATATCAGATAGTACTGGCAGCAGATGCTAGTGACTATGGCATCGGTTCAGTTATTTCTCACATCATGCCAGACGGCACCGAGAAACCGATTGCACACGCGGCAAGGTCCTTGACCGAAACTGAGAAGAAATATTCTCAGATCGAAAAAGAAGCCTTGGCCTTGATATTTGGAGTGAAGAAATTCCACAAGTTCATCTTTGGAAGAAACTTCATCCTGCGCACTGACCACAAGCCTCTACTATCGATTTTTGGAAACAAGAATGGAATTCCAGTGCATTCTCAGAATCGGCTTGTGCGTTGGGCGATCACCTTGCTTGGCTACCACTTCAAAATTGAATACATCAACACCGAAAAATCTTCAAGACGACGACGTTGTCATCGCGAAAGTTGAAGTGGAAGTGCAAGAAGTGCTGAAAAACAGCATTCGGCGACTACCTTTGACCAGCGCGGACGTCCGAACTGAAACTAGTAAGGACAAAGATCTTCAGAAACTCACCAAATTTGTGAACTCTGGAAGTTTTCCGCAGAAGGTACCCGAAAAACTGAGATCTTTCTCCTCAAAACGAGAAGAATTGAACGTAGTCGACGGCTGTTTGATGGTTGGCGATCGAGTCGTCATCCCTGAAAAGTTGAGAGGAGAAGTCCTCAGGGAGCTCCACTCTTCTCATGCTGGAATGGATCATATGAAAAGGATTGCCAGATCAATCGCTTTTTGGCCTGGAATCGATATGGATTGCGAGAACTTTGTACGAAGTTGCAGGACTTGCAGCTTGAACAGCAAAACTCCTCGAAAAGTTCCTTTGCAACCATGGCCAACACCAGAACGGGTTTGGCAAAGAATCCACATCGATTATGCTGGTCCAGACCAAGGACAATGGTATTTGGTGGTGGTGGACGCGAAGAGCAAATTTCCTGAAGTGAAGATTTGCCAGTCAATTTCAGCTACCAATACTGTCAAAATTCTGAAAGAAATTTTCGCCAGAAACGGTTTCCCGGAAACCATCGTATCTGACAACGGTACGCAGTTCACGTCCCAACTGTTCGCCGAAATGTGCCAAAATGGAAACATTCAGCACATCAGAACTGCTCCATATTGTCCGCAATCTAACGGCCAAGCCGAAAGATTCGTCGATACGCTGAAAAGAGCTTTGAAGAAGCTTCAAAAGGGGGAGGAGAAGATATCGGAAGAAATTCTGAACGAATTCCTCATGCGGTATCGCCGCACTCCATTGGAAGTATTGAAAGGGAAGTCAGCCGCCGAAGTGCACCTTGGGCGACAAATAAGAACGAAAATCGATTCCCTGAAACCTCGAGATCCAGAAATTCCTTCTTGGTCAAACGACCAAAGGAAAATGAAGAATTGGTTTGACGAAAAGTATAGCACGAGATCTCGTGATTTCCATGTTGGTCAGCAGGTGATGGCGAAATGTCACACTGCCAACTCATGGACGTGGAAGCCAGGCTTTATTCTGAAAAAGTCAGGAAAAGTCAACTACGAAGTTGACTTGGGTGGTTCATCAAGGCGTTTTCATGCGAACCAGCTGAAACGCGACTGTTCTGAACGAGAACAAGAAAATCAGCCCGATTCGTGTCTAGATGTTCTGCTAGACACCTACGAAGTTCTTCCAACGACTGTGCTCCAGCCGACAATTGTTCCGATGCCGCCGTGCCCAGCTCCAGCAGCACCAGCCGCAACAACAACAGCAGCTCAGTCAACAACGACTACAGTGCCACTGAACGTCTCCGCACAGCAGCCACTCGCAGCAGTACCTATGGGTCCAGTCAATCCGCCAGCAGCGCCGAGAAGATCTTCACGACAGCCGAAGCCTATTAATCGTTTTGACCCTACTCCGTGAATTAGGCTCAACGATTTGAATTGCTCGATTTTAAAGAGCTCATTTTTAACATTGTTTTTTATAATGTTTATGTTTTTCCCTAACTGGTTCCCCTTTATCTTTAAAAAAAGGGAGGTGTTGTGGAATGCGGAATCCCTCGTAAACCTACACACAACTCATGTGCGCGCTAGCGTACATTGTTCTGCGTAGAACCCATTATTGGCCTAAATTGTTTTTTTACCTCAATATTTGGTTGGTAATCAATAGTTGTTCTAGATATTTTTGTATAGTAGTTAAGTGTATATATTTGTAAGATAAATATATACCACAAGGAGTGTTAAAGATCGTTTTCTACACTATACAACAGTA